CCCAACCCACCCACCCACCCCACCCCCACCCCCCCACCCACCCCCCACCCCCACCCCCCACCCACCCCCCACCCACCCACCCACCCGCCCACCCACCCACCCACCCACAACCACCTGCGCTGGGCTGCTCAGACAGAAGGGCGCCGCAAACAGGGGAGCTTCAATGCAAAAAAAAGTGCTCCGCGCTGCTGGCAGTCCAAATACTCAGTTGTTCAGCGACCCTGGGAAAAAGGGAGCCTTTTTTTGGGAAGACAATTTTTAGTGGGCAGCCACTAAAAAAATAGGAAAAAGGGTGCCACTGAACAACTGAGAATAAGCTCAAATAACCTCATCACATCAACCTACAGCAGAACAGAGGCTTATGATTCGTGGGTTGAATCGGTGTGTGAAAAATATTGAAGCAAACAACGATGTTGGTCTTCTTTTGGAAAATCGAATCTCTGCGTTGTCAAGCACCCAGATTCTGACTCTCGATATGACTCTTTATAGAGTCTGAATGAAAGCCAGTGGGAAGAGACAGCCTGCAAGCAGTCCTGCTTGGCAAGAACTGCCTTGGAATCAACCCTCTGGTAGAAAGTTCAGCGAACACAGAAAATCAGCACCAAGTGTACCAACGAAGCCTTTCAAAATAAGTTCGGCATCTGTCAAACGAACCTGCATTCTAGAACATGAATTGTGGCGGCTTCAACGGTGCAACTGAGCTTTTGCTTCAAAGTCGTGAGTCCTAATCCGTAGGGCGGCACGAAAACAAGGGAATCCAATACCAGCTGGCATAAGCGAAGGATTGATTCGAACAACTCAGCTAGGCAGGTCATCATATTCTCGAAATCCCACCACTGGGACAACGGTTCTCGCTTTCCCTTCAGGGCCATAACCTCTACAAAAGAAAAACCACACCCCCAAAGGATCCCGCAATCAAACCACCCCCACCTCCTGAAACAAAAAGAACCGACCAAAACTGGAGATATGTTTGGGAGGGTGGTGTGTTTGGGGTAAGAGCAGTTTCATGAAAACCCGATCGGGTCGAATGTCGAGTCACAAAACAAGCCTCGTGATAAAAAGTGGACTACTGAAGCCATATTGAGAAGGATTGGCACCAAGTTGTGACAAGGCGACTGTCCCCTACAACCTTCTCCTATCCTGGTTCTGAGGACGTGGCTCGAATGGGCGCCATGAGAAACAAACTTCATTCATCTGGTGCGAAGAAAGAGGGAACATTTGGGGTTGACTTTTTTTTCAAAAGAAAGGAGGAAATACGCCTGGGTGGTAGCCCGAACGGAACCCTGAAAGCTGCCCAAACCACCCCAGAAAGGCAAAGACCCCAAAGCTTCCAGCTGTTGGAAAAAAACAGCACACAATTGGCCTCCCAGCCAACTCACGCCGAACAAATCGAAAGGCCACCCTTTTTCGGGTTCCCTTTTTGGGGTTGGTTACAAGGGAAGCCAAAAGAAAAACCACCATTTTGGGGGGTCCCCTCAAAAACACACACACACACACACACACACAACCTTCTGGCTGATGGGTCCAAGCAACAACTTGGAGGGTCCGCGTCCGCGCCTTCCAGTTCTCGGTGCAGGGCCGGTAGGTTTTGCTCTCCCGGCGGGCGCGGTCCAAGGTCTCTGCAGACCTCAAAACGAGACCCGTGGATTACGGGCGACCGAGCCGAAGTACGGGCCTTTTGAAGGTCATACAAAAAACATGTATGTATGCAATGCAACGCGATGCAATGCAGTAGGCGCTGCAATGTACTGCACTGCACTGCTTGTGGGGCAAAGCACTCATTTCACACCAGAAGGGTTCCCTCATTCTACACCAGTTACCTCACCCTCATCTCACAACAGAGTCGCCGATTCCACTGCCCCTGCCATGGGATCCAAGGCCGGCACAAACTAGTTTAGAGCTTTTCGGCACAGGACGGTGAAATCAAGGAATTCCTCATCTCACACCAGAGTTTAGGTTTCGGGTTTGCAGGGTTCTTTAGGCTTTAGGGAATTTAGGGTTTAGGGTCTTTAGATTTTAGGTAATTTAGAGTTTAGGGTTTAGGGTTTCTAAAGTTTAGGGTTTTTAGGGTTTAGGGTTTTTAGGGGTTAGGGTTTTTAGGGATTAGGGTTAACAGGGCTTATTTCTTTAAGGGTTCAGAGATTGTAGAGTTTAGATTTTTAGGGCTTATGGTTTGGATTGTTTTTTTGGGTTTAGGGCTTTTTGGGGTTTAGGCTTTTCACGGTTTAGGGAATTTAGGGTTTAGAGCTTTCAGGGATTAAGATTTTTAAGGCTTAGGGCTTGTAGAGTTTAGGGTTTTGAGGGTTTTTATTTTTAGGGTTGTTTTTTGGGTTTAGGGTTTTTGGGGTTTAGGGTTCTTTCGGCTTAGGGTTTTTAGGGTTTAGGGAATTTAGGGTTTAGGGTTTTAGGGCTTAGGTTTTTTAGGGTTTAGGATTAGTTGGGTTTACGGTTTTTAGGGTTTAGGGTTTTTTGGGGTTTAGGGTTTTTCAAATTTGCAGTTTTTAGGGTTGGGGGATTGTAGGGTTTGGGGAATTGAGGGTTTTTAGGGTTTTGAAGGTTTAGGGTTTTTAGGGTGTAGGGTTTGGGGTTTGGGTTTAGGGTTTGGGGCGTTCTCGCGCGCGCGGTCGACATTCACGCGCGGGGCGTTCGCTGGCGGGCCGCGCGCGGGCGCGGAAGGGCGCGACGCAATCCCCGCGCAAGCGGCGTGGGACCAGGCTCGCCGGAGCAGCGCAGCGGAGCGGCGCTGGATGTACGAAGCCCGCGCCGCCGGCTTCCGCGCGGGCCTCGTCGCCGACGTCGCACCGCGCGCGACGCGCAGGAAGAGGGCCGCAAAGAAGAGGCCACGGAGAAGGGCAAGGCCACGACGCAGAAGAAGCGGGCCGACAAGAAGGCCGCCGAGGTCGCCCGCAAGGCCGCGAGGCGCAAAAACAAACACGTCCCGCGCGGGATGGGCGACGGACGCGCGGCGACGACAGGAAGGCGGAGAAGAAGGCGGCGGCGCGCCAAGAAAAAGGCAGGGCCGAGGGCAAGGGAGAGCGCGGCACGGGAAGACGCAGGCACGCGCGAACTCGCGTGCGGTGAAGAAAGGCCGGGAAGCAGGGCGAGGGCGAGGGCGGGGCGCGGCCCGCGACGCAGGCCTGCTTCCGCCTTACCCACAATTCAAGGCGTGCGGGCGCGAAGGGACGGAGGCCGCAGCCGCGCCGTCCGGCCAGGCGCCGGCCGGTGGAGGTGGAGGCCCAGGCAGCCGCGGGCGACAGGCGCCCCAGCGCCGCGGCGCAAGTCAGCCACTGGGCTGGTGTATATAAAGGGCTCAGCCGAGAGCTTCTAAGCAATCATTTGCTCCACTCTCAAGGCTCCTCCCTCTGCGACTGCGAGTCGTCGGAAGAAAGCCGACTAGCGGCGCTGAAAGTGAATATGCACCACCCTAGAAATGGGTGGGAAACGGTCGAAGCAGACCGGGTGGGAATTTTTAGGGTTTAGGGTTTTTAGGGTTTGGGTTTTTTAGGGTTTGGGTTTTTTAGGGTTTAGGGATTGTAGAGTTTAGATTTTTAGGGTTTAGGGTTTTTAGGGTTTAAGGGTGTTTTTGGGGTTTCAGGTTCTTGCGGTTTAGGGTTTTTAGGGTTTCGGGAATTTAGAATTAGGGTTTGCAGGGCTTAGGGTTTTTAGGGTTTAGGATTTGTTGGGTTTACGGTATTTAGGGTTTAGGGGTTTTAGAGTTGAGGATTTTTCAGATTTTTGGTTTTTAGGGTTTAGAGTTTTAGGGTTTAGGGTTGTTAAGGTTTAGGCTTTTTGGGATAGGAAGCCTAAACTGTCTGGTGGCTTGAAAGCCGGTGTGAAGCGAGGCGATTCAACCGGTGTGAAATGAGGTGAGTTGACCGTTGTGGAAAGAGTGCTCGCCCCTGCACTGCAATGCAATGCAATGTGATATAATGTAATGTGCTGTGATGTGATGTGATGTGATGTGTATATATTATGTACAGAGAGGCAGAGAGAAGAGAGAGAGAAGAGAGAGAGAGAGAGAGAGAGAGAGAGAGAGAGAGAGAGAGAGAGAGAGAGAGAGAGAAGAGAGAGAGAGAGAGAGACGAGAGAGTGAGAGAGAGAAGAGAGAGCGAAAAGAGAGAGAGAGAGAGAGAGAGAGAGAGAGAGAGAAGAGAGAGAGAGAGAGAGAAGAGAGAGAGAAGAGAGAGAGAGAGAGAGAGAGAGAGAGAGAGAGAGAAGAGAGAGAGAGAAGAGAGAGAGAGAGAGAGAGAGAGAGAGAGAGAGAGAGAGAGAGAGAGAGAGAGAGAGAGAGTGAGAGAGAGAAGAGAACAGAGAGAGAGAGAGAGAGAGAGAGAGAGAGAGAGAGAGAGAGAGAGAGAGAGAGAGAGAGAAGAGAGAAGAGAGAGAGAGAGAGAGAGAGAGAGAGAGAGAGAGAGAGAGAGAGAGAGAGAGAGAGAGAGAGAGAGAGAGAGAGAGAGAGAGAAGAGAGAGAGAGAAGAGAGAGAGAGACAGAGAGAGAGAGAGAAAGAGAGAGAGAGAGAAAAGAGAGAGAGAGAGAAGAGAGAGAGAAAGAGAGAGAGAGAGAGAGAGAGAGAGAGAGAGAGAGAGAGAGAGAGAGAGAGAGAGAGAGAGAGAAGAGAGAGAGAGAGAGAGAGAGAAGAGAGAGAGAGAGAGAGAGAGAGACAAGAGAGAGAGAGAGAGAGAGAGAGAGAGAGAGAGAGAGAGAGAGAGAGAGAGAGAAGAGAGAGAGAGACAGAGAGAGAGAGAGAGAAGAGAGAGAGGGAAGAGAGAGAGAAGAGAGAGAGAGACAGAGAGAGAGAGAGAGAGAGAGAGAGAGAGAGAAGAGAGAGAGGGACAGGATTGAAGACTAAAAGGGTCATGAAAAGGCAAAGTTGCTAGATATGGAAACCCTACCTTCACCGGAATGCTCTTGATCAACCCGGAACCTGGAAGAAGCTGAGAGAAATCTCCTAACCGACCCCGGTTCTCCATATGTACTGCTCAGAGCGCTGCTGATGCGAATAGCTGCATGAACATCGTCACGCTGACGCGCGTAAGCTTCGACGTCCCTTCCCCCTTCCCCAGGCTCTGGCCAGCAAGCGCTCAGCGCGTTGGGCACATTCAGCGCCTCAGGGCGGGGGGGGCCCGGAGGGGGTCTTGCTGGCTCTGGTCTGTCGTCACCAGTTGGGATCAAGGCACCCGTCCCAAGGTTTCACGTGCCCGAAAAAGGATTCATGTTGAACTTCTCCCCGGCCTTTGGAAGTGCATATTGTTCGTACGAGTTCCGCGGTTGCCTGCAAACCAAATCGATAGTAAATGAGAGGGGAGAGGATATGGCATGAAAAAGGCAGCAAGCATGTGATCCTTTACCCCAAGATGTATGTTAAAGGCGTGTACAGCCACTCTTACATGGTATGTTGACCCCCCCCCGCCACCAACCCAACAAAAGAACCAAATACGAAGAACAGTGACGGCTCATGGTTCTTCTTTAATTTTTGGCCGGGGGGGGGGGGGGCGGAGGGATTCTGCGCTCGGTGCCATATCTAAGCTGATCCGTGCACTCGGTACAACTCTCCGGCCTCACATCAGCGAGCCCGAAGAAAGCAAGCCCTCGTGAAGAAAAGCCATGCGAGCCGGGCAATGAATTCGGCTTCGGCTTCACCAACGCCAAACGGCACGGGCTCGTCCTTCGAAGGCCGAAACCATCAGCCTCCGACTGCGCCGACATCAGATTCCGGGAAAGGAAGCGGAAGCAGCGCTTTTCTGTAATCCCGGGCTCCAGATCCACGGCGGCCCGAAACAGCAAGCCAAACACGCGCGGGGACCAAACAGTTTCTTCCAAGGCTTCCGGTTGCCTTGCGAGCATTAAGCGCTTCTGGCAGTGCAGAGATCTTGAGGACTCTTTACTCAGTGGCCCGGCCAAAGGCAAGGCACACGTTGCCTTGACTCAAAAACCCCAAAGGGGTTTAACATGCACAGGATCTGGGGAAGCCGGCTTCCCCCCCCCCTTCAATCTAAAAAAAGGAAAAAAACAAAGTCACCAAAAAACAAAAAACAACACGGCTACCCCCCCCCCCCAAAAGAAAAACAGTCAAAAACCAATTCCCCGCCCCCCTTAAATCTAAAAAGAGAAAAAGAAGAAAAAAGTCACCCCCAAAAAGAAAGTAAAATCTGGGAGAACCTCTCTGGATGTCTCTAGCTCCTCCCTTTCCGTGCCGTGCTGGCCTCCGGAGTCTCCTCCTGCGCTTGCCCATGGCACTCGCCAGAGTTTGGTTCCCAGGACCCTCCCACCCCTAGGGCCGTTTGGCAGGAAAAACTGTGGATGGTTGCGACATCCATTTCGCGCCACCGTTCAGAAATTTTGACGTGATTTGATTCCCCAACGTGAATTCCAACAATGGCTTCAACCATGGTTTCATTTCGTGGTGCGACATGGATTTCGCGACCATCCACAGTATGGCCCTGGTGAACGGAATGTTTCACCAGTCTGAACCAGCGCCATCTGTTCCAAACCAACCTAAGGACGCCTATCACTTCCATGTTGGTCGGGAGGGGAATATCCTTGCATGCCTGGATCATGGAACCTCAGGAGAGCAAAACTGATCTTTCAGGAATGTGGCTGGGAGGGTGGAGCTGGACCCTAGGAGCTTCATGTGCCCCGTGTGGGAAATCGAGCGCCGAGATGCCTGGGAGAGTGCGGAAAGCGACCCACCCTCCGGTCCACGAATGGAACCTGACTGAGGCTGGTGGGTTCATGTTGGACAGGATCCAAAAACAGTTTGTGCAACTCCAGCTGTGAAAATGCGTAGAGGTTTCTTTTTAGCGGTGAATGAGGGAATGACCCCTCTAAACCATCAAAACTCGTATCAATCTCCCGGAGCTGGCCACGCTAGGCGTGGTCAACTGGGTCGGTCAAACTTTTGCCCAAGCTGCGGAACAATCAAACGCTTCGGCTACGCGAAAGAAGTATGCTGCATGATCAATATCTCATGCCCAGAAGATAGGGGGATCAGAGACAAACCCACAAGCACGACGGCGCTGTGTGGCCGGTGACCGCGCTGCACAAAGGGTCGCAGGGATGAAACGGTGTCCATGCGGACCAAAGCGTAACCACGGCTCCAAAGTCGGAGCTGTTCCAAGAACCCGAGTCGTATCTGCATGTTGCCATGAATTTCCTTGCTTGTGCTAAAACAGAAGATATCAGGATGAATTCGGATGAGAAACGCAGCAGGCGCTCCTTTTCTTCTACATGCAACTAACGAAGTCCTTGACCAGTCATGGCTACAAAATGCACAAACAGTCTTGTTCCTTTGTACACCACTGGAGATGTCGTTTTTTTGAGGGATTCTTGTCGCCTTGACAGGGATTTCCAAAGCTTGCCAGTCACAACGTCAAAGCTTCAGAGCGCCGATTTTGAAGCCCGACATCTCGAGAAAAAACACAACATGGAGGTCTCATTGCTTTACCCTCTCTTTCCCGAATGCCAGGGACTCACCAAGGACTGGACTGTCAAGCCCCAAATTCGTCAAGCCCTGGATTCAGCCTCTGACCCGCCTCCACTTGCCGCAGCTGCTGCCTCACGGCCGCCAGGCGCGGGCCCGCGCAGTACAGCCTCCAGTTCTCACGGCTGGGTGAGGCTTGGTGTCATATTTGCCCAAACCGCAGATCAAATGCGCCAAACCGTCCCTGCCATGTTGTCCTGGCTCCCTTACAAAAAGGCGGTCTATGTTGGTCGGAATCCCTCACCAAGTAGGGAAGTTCTGTGGGCAGCTTTCTACATCATAAGATGCGCAACCTCATGATTTCCTTGAGCTGTAGAAAGGTCTAAAATCAGGCAAACGTGGCTTTGTTCCTCGGGCCGCATCCCCATCCCAAGCCTCACTTGGACCGCCTTTGCCTGTTTTGATCTTACTGGGGTTGGCTTGGGCTTCCTTTAGGCTGGAAGGGCTGACAGTCAGGATGCTGGGTGGGGTTAAGACGGACTTTGGTGGCTTTGGGATGTTCTTGGAGCTGATTTGTGTTCCGTGTGCTGCTGGTTTAGCGGCGGCCTTAGGTTTGCTTTAGGGGTGGCCACGTGAGTTTTCGGGTTATTGTTGGTTTGGTGCAACGCTCCAGACCCTAAACCCTAAACCAGCCCAACAACAAAGACACACTTCGGCGGCCTGCAGTCAACCCGAAACCTCGGAGAGGTCCTCACTTTGGACACGGTAACATTGACCGTTCTCCTTCTGGATATTGGGGTCTCAAACAAGGGGAACCTCCAAAATGGCTCCGGTGTTCCGGTGCAGAAATAACCAAACGAGGATTTCCAAAAAAATGACACCCCCATATGGGAAGAAATATGGGTTGTGTCTGGTTTTGACGGTTTTGTCTCACAATGGTATCTACTTTCCCACTTTCAAACGACCCAGAAAGAGCAACTGTGGTTGCCAAGAGAAACTAGAAAGTTTGGCGGGTCTTAGCCTGGCGTTTGTGTGAAATTGGGGCAGGCCCCGTGCTGGTCCTCCTGAAACCGTCAACAGATGAAATATGCGGCTTGTCCAATCTGGCTGGTTTACAGCAACAGGACAAGAGGGTGGCAGAGATAAGTGGAAGAATTGCACGACTTCCAAGGCCCGAAACCACTCCCCGAATCCAATAAAATATGTTGCGACATGTTAGGTATCCGGGTTTCCATGAGTTCCAAGAACTCATTTACCCATAAAATGGCATCACCCAGCAGCCTTGGGCCTTTCTGCAGCCCCACAGAGCCGGGTCAGATCGATTGAAAGAACCTCACAACTGGGAAGGGCTCTTTGGGAGCCATACCAACTAACTGGCTTCAGGGTTGCTCTAACTTGCTGCCTTGCTGATTCCTTTGGGATAGGTTCAGCAACCCAAAACCCCTGTGAGCGGAAAGACCATGTCGATACGTAGCCGGTGTCCCACAAGAGATGTCCTTTCACTTTTTTGGGGGGGAAGGGCGGCCCCAGAGAAACTAAATCCGCCAAGAATCCAGAAAACCGCTCCTGCATGTGTTTCATGAAACCAGAGGAATCTCTTCTTTAGGGGGGAGCTTTCTTCGATTCCATGAAAAAAATCCAAGGAATCAAATTAGCTTGCTCGATTTTTTTCGGAACTCCCCCGAACCCCTGCCTGCCCTCTCCGACCATCGCCCGCATCACAGCGGCGCGGGCCAAGTGGAACCTGAGCCGAGGGCGACATGGACAAAACCCTGCACCACATATGTGTCCTTTTAGGGGAAATAGATGGGTTTCCCTGGTAGATGATTAAACCACCAGGTAAGCCAGGAATCGCCATCTATGGTTCCACCAAAACAACCAAAAAGGACACCTAGGCTGCACCACCTAAGAAACCCTGGAATGATGGTTCCCCTGTAAATACCAACAAACAAAGGTTTGCAATGGTTTCCAAGTGGTGCGAAATGGATTTCGTCTATCCGCAGTGGTAGTGTTTTGGGGGGCTCCATGTGAATGTGCCTGAGAGTCAGCACCAGACTTTCGCTCGCTTGGGCTGTTTTTGTTGTTTCCCGAGAGTAAGGATTCAAACCTACCAACAACAAAGTCAACTCTAACTGGGGAAGAAACAAGTGTGTATGAGTTTCAATTGGTTACACAACCATCCATATTAGGGCCCCAACATGTGGGTGTTCCTCCGCCGATGCGAGGCCATTCAGGCTGCGCCCTATCAGTTCTGCTAGTTGACGGTAAAAAAGTCATCGCAAAAGAGGGGGACCCTCAAGAAAACATAACCCCAATTGGTCCAAGCATTCCAACTCAGCCGCTTAACGTATCATATTGGACTCCCGGGGAGCCTCCAGGTCTCCTGTTCGCTTTGCTTGAAAGACTTCATTGGGGGAACTTCCGAGAAGATCCTTCTCTTCAGCAAACCGCAAAAAGCGATGGAAATGGCAGTGGGTTCTTTTCGAGCGATGGTGAACTGAAAAGGAACCAACCACCAAAAAACGAACGTGGACCCCAAAAACTTGGCTAGACCCCGTGTAGAGCCCGGTGCAAACAAATGACATTTGCTGCTGGTTGCAAGGGACAAAAACCAGGCCAAAAAAAGCAAAGGGCGAAAAGGTGAGCCAAGTCTGTCAATGCCAAAGACAAGAATCCTGACCGCGGAATTCGGCTGAGACCCCTCTGCACAATCGCGAAAAGGCCCGTCCACGCTACGTCCGGGGCATGTTGGGCCCCAAGAACTTCACCATTTTCAGACCCCCGGCTGAAAGTGAATAACTTTTAGTGGGTTAAACACATGGAAACCCAACCACTAAACCAACTAAAAATCCTGGAACCAAGAAGCCCCGGCAAGTGATTCGTCTGAAAAATGGATGCACCCCTGCACCATGCAGCAGCGCTTCTTGTGTCTTCCCATACCTCCAGTAGCCCTGAAATTGTGTGGAGCGGCTCTTTTTGGGCACATGGGTGGGTCTCTTTTTGAGGGTACCCTGTTTGACCCCATATAGTCTCCTTCCCAGCTGTTGCCCAAGGCGGAGGCAAGGTCCAAAGCAAAGATAGACATATCATCAAGAAGCCGGAGAACCAAGGGCAAAGGACAGCGACGGGGCAGCTGTCCCACATCCGCCGTGTTGAGCTTCTCGGTCTGTGGCCGATGGAGAAGCCGCATGCAGCACCCATTCCCCGTGCGAACCATCCCAGGACATCCTCGAGCGCCAGAGGTAACTATGCTGGCTGAACTGGCCAACAGGTTGCGTTTCAAGCGGAAGGCCTCCTAAACGAGACACTGGCCTCATTATTTTACCATGATCAAAGTCACCCCCTAAGTGGTGGGTTCAAGGGAAACAACCCCATTTTCTGACTTTGATAAACCCCGTTAAAGGTCGAAATCATGACACCAGAGACAGGGCACACTCCTTCGTGGACCGGTCCAAAGCTCGAGCCAAGGCCCGGGCCGTTTCTCCTGGAAGGCGGCCTTCGTGAGCAGCTGCTGCCTCAGGCTCGATTCACCCATGGCAGGGAACGCAACAGGGATCCGGATGCATTATACACCTGAACATTGCCTTGTAAATGGTGGTGTCCAACTTTATTTGATGGGAAAAGCCATGTTTCAAATGGGCAAAATGTATCTTTTGAGGAGCCCTGTGAAAGGATAGGAGTTGAAGAGGGGTATGTCGGATCCGAACCCCTTCACCCCGGGAGGTCTGGGCGCATTCCAGGTATGTTTGTTCTGGTTACTTGCAAGGCGCCGAACCTACCCCCCGCCTTCCTGCACGTTGAACCAACCGGTGTACATATTGAATACTGCATAGGCGTCCGCTTTTGACATGACGGATCTTGTTTGCCTGCGGATTCAAAATTCGTGCGCCGCCCATGCATCACAACAAAAACCCGCAGAAGGGTCATGGTCAGCTCCCTTTGCCGGATCGACAGACTGATGGTAGAACTGGCTGTTGACTCGACTGGAGTCCTGTTGACCGACCGATTCCTTGCGCCAATCTGAAAAAGGTTCGCCGGGGCCCGCGCTGTGAGGGCGAGAGCATCACGAGCACATGCTTCGCCTGCACCTTGTAGATCAAACCTGAGACCCAGAAAAACGCCGGGTTTGACCAGATGGATAGTTCTGCCCGGAGTTTCTTGTCCCTTGAGATCCTTGGGGGGCTTTGGATTTACATGAGATCTGGCTCAAAATTAACCAGGAGGGGTTACGCAGGTTTTGGTCCATGTTTCCACTCACCAGGGTTCCATTTTGGGTACCGGCTTTTTGAGCCACAGGCAAATGAAGTCTGGCACCTTCTACAATTCAAGTCCACCGGACATAAGAACCAGTGAGGGCCTTCATTGCGCTTGTGCTACGGCTCGCCCCCAAAATCGCAGATGCCATGAAGGATGCCAGGATTTCTGTCCACCCGTTGACGTTGATCGTCTCGTCTTGGAGGGACGCCCACCCGAAAAACCCTCTGAGTTCAAACAACAACCTGCTTCAGGCGCACCTCTCCATCGCTTGAGCCCAAGATCAAAACTGGAGTCCATAGCCATTGAATTCCGTAAACCAACTGCTCAGCTGGGACAACAGATCCACCGAAGCCAGTGAGGATGCCCTTCGGTTTGGTTGGCTAACGATGGAGGGACCCCGTACTCGATTTAGGCTTGCGTGTCTTTGCCGTCTTGATGTCAACGTTGGATATTCCTCTGTTGAATATGGTGAGTCGCATTCATCCGAAGTGCGATGTGCGTTTCTCAAATAATAGGGGAACCTCCAAAACGGAGGGGGTCCTTTTTCGTGTCCATTTAAAACCATCCAAAATCGCACTGTGGTCAGTCAGATTAATCCGGGAACCACCCACGGTTGGGAAGCCAAGTAGGGTTCCAACACCACCCACGGTTCCAACAGCTATGTCCAAGTAGGGGACTCACTTGAAATGTCTGTATCCAAGTAGGGGACTCACATAGCAAAAAAACCTCTTTAGAACTGAAGACTAAAAGTTCCAGCCACTCCAACAAACCTGCACCAACACCCAAACATCCGCCGCCGCAGAGGTTGGGCCCCGAAAAAACCAACGTGGCAAGTGGCTTTTCTGGAGCAACAAGTACCCCTTGCTTGGCGGGGTTTAAAGGGAATCCAAAAGGAAAACCCACCGGCGCCATGTTGAGGGGTCAAACAAAAACAAGCCACCCAAATCCAAGAGCTCTCTGAAAAAGGCTTGCAAGGGAGCCCTGATATGTGGCACTGTGCTTTAAAAGATTCCCCGGAACCATTTAAGGAATTGAAAAGGCGGAAATCCGCAGAAATGGCTGGGATTGTCTCTTGCCCGCCAATTGTTCGGGTTTTGATTGTGGCTCATGTGGGCAAGAATCATAAAAAACGAAAACTCCTCATTGCTTGAGCCCGTCTTATGGAGATGTCTCAAAATGTTGCATGGTTGCAAAGAGAAGCGACAAGGGAACAACCACCGAGTGGTCCCGCTATGTTGAGACGGTTTCCCGCCTGAGGCAGAGATGCAGGTCAGCGTCTCCTGCTGCCTCAGCTAAGGCAAGGGCAGGGAGCGGAGGGAGCGGAAGATTCTCTTGCCAATCTCGTCCAAACAAGATCCACTTTCCAGCCCCAAAAGTAACAATCGAAAACTGAAGAGACGCACGCAAGTGACATTCAAGTCGGATCCAAGAACCCTGCAACATACCTTTTGAGCATACCCGGACCAAATGAAAGCAAAAACATGGGAGAGTTGGGGGGATGCTCCAAAAGGGCATGAGGAACCCATTTGTTTTGCTGTACGGAGAAGCCAACCATGTGGGTGGACGACAAAAACCCGCCTTGGTTGGGCAGCCAAAAGGGAAAGCGGAGACTTGAATTTTGGGGTTCAATTCAAAACATATAAATAAATATATGCTAGAACCATGCTTATCCAGGGTTGCCTTGCTGGTTCGATAGGGGATCGAGTCATGACCAACTGAACCATCAACCTGGTGGTTTCCTGGCAGATCTCAAACGCTGAATTCCCTTGATTCCCTATTGACCAGCAAGGTGGTTGCGTGATGCTTTCATTCAGGTCCATGGCATACAAAGCGAAAGAGGAATCCCTTGACCAACATTTTACCCTGGTTGGGCTCGGATCCCCTCAAGTTTGAAGACGTTTCGCGGTCCCCACTCAACCGTCAAACATCTGAGAACCGAAGTGGACGGCTGAGACCGGCCAAGGTTTGATCATCTTTTGGGAACGGTTGACACCACCACCAGATATTTGCAACAAAACCACGCAAAGGTCTGGTATGGTGGAGCAAATCTCTCAGGCTCGCAACTTGCACCGTGACTTCCCACTTGCACACTGACCTGGGATTGAAAACGGGAGCACAAGGCTTGGGGGCTTCACCATTTTTGCTGGGGAACAAAAGCGGAGAAATTTAGTGCCGCCGAACAACTGGAAACTCCCCACACACGGGTTTGTGGCTGTGCTGTGGACAATGTCGACTGCTGACTAATGACGCTCTCCCGCCTGGCCCTTGTCTTTGAATGAAGGGAGCGGACACGGGACACGGTGTCCTTTTCATTTCCCTTTAAAACCCCAAAACGGGGTCCATCAAAGGACCCACCCACAGAGGTGTCCGAGGGCATTGCCGGTGAGAAAAATGCGCTTCCTTTGTTCGTGATCACCCTGCTTGGGAAGCCAACTGTGGGTCATTGGGCGCTCGTTCTCATGTCACATGGCCGGCTTTGGATCCATGATAAGGACATAAACCATCGTACGTATGCGTCTGTCAGTGTTTCAGGGGGCCCCCCATAACACACCACCGGAGCCATTCGCATCGCAAGTCAAGTGTTCCGAAAAGAGGTAAGGAATGTGATTGCAGAAGCGAAAATCATGCGCCAGCTGATCGAAGAATATTTTGCTAGCTTTCAAACATCCCGCCTAAGAAGCGATGTTTCAAACTATCCAAAGAGGGACCCCTGATACTCCTCCTGTCAATATACTGATTTAGCGCCAGACCTGCAGCCACGAGAACTGTGAAAATTGGCAACCCCGATTCAGCAGTGTCTCTCATTTTCCGCACCTGTGACTCTCGTGCGTGCGGGGACATGGGCCCCGAGACCCAACATGGGCGCCGTGGTGAGACGATCGATGTTTTAGTGTTCAAGGTCAAACAGTGCGGCAGATTTCTAAGGGTTCTATGGTGACTTGAACCAAGATCTCTTGATACTGCACTGATTGGAAAACCCTGTGGAGACTGGGATCCACCTGACTAGTTGCAAGTGGATTTGTCCATTCACGACCAAAATCCGCCCAGGATTGCAAGGTCTAAGGGCTAGAACTGCCAAGTGTCTAGTCCACCAATGCAAGACACAGGAATAAATCGGGCGTTGGGACAGACATCGGTCAGAAGGCGCCGTAGAGACCCCGGTTAGAGCCCCCGAAGAGCGCTTGCGCGGGGCCCAAGCAGGGCCTGCAGGAGAGAGGTGTGCTCAAGCGGCCTCCATGTAGGGTATAGCACAAGTTCCTGTGTCAGGGGATGTTTGGAGGTTGTTGTTTGTTTTGTTTGTTCTCTTCTTTCTTTCTTTCTTTCTTTCTTTCTTTCTTTCTTTCTTTCTTTCTTTCTTTCTTTCTTTCTTTCTGTCTTTCTTTCTTCTTTTTTTTGGGGGGGGTTGCACAGCATCTGTTCCTGTGTCACACAACCCACAAGCACCCCCTGACACAGGAACAGATGCAATGCAAGCCCCGAAACAACCTACAAACATTTCCCTGACACAGGAACGGATGCTATGCACCCCCGCCCCCCAAACAAGAATAAACAATGAAACGCCCGCAAGACAGCCTACAAACATGCCTGACACAGGAACAGACCCAAACGAAAACAACCCACAAACCTCCCACTGGCACAGGCCCAAAACAACCTGCAAGCAAGGCAAAGCCACCAAAACAACCGACAAACATCCCCCCTGTTGGGGGGTCTGTTGCTGTGTCAGGGGGATGTTTGGATGTTTGTAGGTTGTGTTGGAGGGGCGGTCTATAGCATCTGTTGCTGTGCATTGTTGGTAGGCTGTTTGAGGGGGGGTGCATAGCAACTGTGCCTGTGACAGGGATATGTTTGTATGTTGTTTCGGGGGTTTTGCATTGCATCTGTGTCAGGGGCAAAGCGCATAGCATCTGCGGCTGTGTCAGGGGCATGTTTGTAGGTAGTTTTGAGGGTTTGCATAGCCTCTGCTCTTATGTTTCTAGGCTGTTTTGGGGGGTTTACCTGGTATCTGTTCCTGTGCCAGGGGGGAATGAGAGCCAGCAAGAGAACCATCAAGTCATCCAATCCATTCAAAAAACATAAGGTTCACATAACCTATGACCCTGATAAGTTTGCCAGGTTTCTGTTGAATTCCAGAGTTTTGTTGCAAACTTGGCCGGAGTTCGAAGCTGGTTTCCCTGTAACAAAAAGGGAACCCTCAAAGATAGACACGTATCTTGCTCAAAAATGCATAACGCGTTACCCCCCCGGCCTTTTGGAAAGGCAACCCAACCCGGTTCGAGACACGGGCAATGAAACTTGGGAACATTGGACACGCGGCTTGGACCTCATGGAATCCACCCGAAGGATCGATCCCTCCTCGGCGTCTCTCCCCGCCTGTCTTTTTGGTGCAGGTGAAGCAGCTCTGGCAAGCCGCATTTCATGTTCACCTGCAAAGGGGGACTCGCGACTCGTGCCGCACGGCAACAAAGCAGCTGGTCCTCTTCATGAGGTTTCTCAGTTGTCGAAGGGACCCAGAACTACAAGGTTATCCTTTCGGAACCTTGACTAAACATGGACCAGAATGGGGCAACCACAAAGTCAGCTTTCCACAAATGAGGGTTGGAAGAGCCTCGTCTGGAGAACAGAAAACTATAGAGTGGGCTGGCCTGTTTTTGTCTTGGTGTTTCGGTTGTTGGGTTGCCCCTATGGTTGGCATCCGTTGCGCTTCCCAACTGAAAGAAAACACCACCGAAAAGTGGTTCTTCCAACACTCGGCTTCTCTTCAACCAAAAGGCCGGCTACTCGCAAATCTCACGAAAACAGGAGCCACGTTGGTGCCCTTCTAACACCCAGACTCGCTTGAAGACTCTAAACGGCCAATGATCAGAATGGGGCTGTGGGCTGCAATCCAAACTAGGATCCCTGGGTGGGTAGCATGGTATCCCTAACAGCTCTTTTTTGTTCGGGCCCGACCGCAGCCCAGGAAGGGTACAGCCGACGACGGTGCCAGTACGGAGCCCCGATCGAGGCCCGACGGCGCAATCGGGGCCCGACAGTGCAATCGGTGCCCGAACGGGGCCCAGGAAACCACCATTCTCACTGGAACCACCAAAATGGACCTTCCAATTGTGGGTTCCCTCTGGATCAATTAACCCCTTAGCCCATGCATTCAGAATTGACAGAAAACCTCGCACATGCGACACGAACTGATCTAGGACAAAGGGATGGCAACCCACCTCCAACCAAACCCATACAATTAAAAAAAGGAACAAGCCGCCAGCTTGCCCCTGATTGGAGTTTGGCTTGGTTGGTGGTTTGGTAGCGCTTGCACCAATTGCGGGTAACCTGAAGCCAAGCAACAAAACAATGTAAAACAATGCAAAACAATCAGCCCGGGTGGTAGAACCGCCTGTCTCCGGGAACCCTCTCTGAAAGCTGCCCAAAACCAACCAAAAAGACTATCTGGGAAGACACCCCCAAAATAATGCGGTCAGCTGTCGGGGAGAAAAAACAGGGACAGGTCAATGGAGATTTGGTCCCCGGGATTTGGTCCAGGGCAATGGATGCACAGTTTGCCTGGTGGACCAAGGGAAACCCCCAACAAAAAGAAAAAACCCAACCGAGGCGCTGCAGGTATGGGCCGAATCACTTTGAAGCAAAGGAAGCGAAAGGAAGCCAACTACAAAACCCTAGCCTTGATTCTTAGTCTGAGAGCTCGAATGCAACACTGTTCCAGTCTTCCACTGGAAAATGTTGGCAGCTGACTGACAATTGGGGGTGTTCCCCGGAAAAATGAATGAACAAGGGAACTGCTCACCAAAGGTATCAAGAGCCAAACCACAGGTGGGAACAACCAAGAATCAACCGCACCACAACCAAGTTGGAAACCAAATTTTGGAAGCCAAGTCAAAGCCCCAAGGGGTCGGGGTCTCGAACTGCTGCCGCCTTCATGTCCTCGCAAAGGGACCACACCGCGAAGATGAAGTAAGCCTCCACTGCTGCCACCTGACCTCAAGTCGCTGCCAGGGGTTTCAGGCGAGACGAAGGGAGGGAGGGAGGCAGGGAGGGAGGGAGGGAGGGAGGGAGGGAGGGAGGGGGGTGGTGTTCCTTGTTTGTCCCCTTCAAGTCTCACCCCATGGATTCCACAATGACAAAGTGGTTTGGGAATCCGCTAGAAAGAGGTGTCTTCTTGTAAAACAACATGGCTGAGAAGCAAGGATAGCTCCTACTTGCAACATGTCTTGGGTATACCCCAAACGAAGGGGATGTTGACAGGGCCATCTCCCCACCTCGCGCTTTCGGGATACGCA